TTTTTTTTTTTTTTGCGGAACCGCGGATTGAACTCAGGTCCTTGCACTTGCCAGGGAAGCGCTTATTCCACTGAGCCATCTCCCCGGCCCCTATTGGTTTTCAATTTGGAGGTAACTTACCTTGCTGAGATTTTCTTTTCTTTTCAGCACTAGGGACTCCATACTGAGCCACACGCTCAGACGTTTCTTGAATTTTTTACTTTGAGACAAGTTTTCATTGTCACTAAATTGTCCAGAATGGGCTTGAACTTGTAATCCTCCTGCCTTGGCCTCCAAAAATTCAAGGATTATAGGTATGTGTTAGACCTGCCTGAGGTCTTCTTGTTTACTGTTTAGGTTTGCTGAACTTCTTGGATCTGAGGGGGTTCGTTGTATTAGAAAATTGTAAATTTTCCTACAATGACTAGTTGACTAACATGGCTTGTATGCATGTGTGTGTGGCACTGCGGATTAAACCCAGGGCCTTGCAAGATACACCCAGCCCCGTCGGGCTGTCTGCTGGTCTCTCTATTTAGAGACAGGGTCTCACCACATTGCAGAGACTGGCCTCAAACTTGTGACTTAAGTACCTGGGATTATAGATGTGCAGCACTGTGCTGGCCCTAGGGCATTATTAACTCTACAAGAAAGAAATTTCTGGGCTGGGGAGATAGTTCAGTGGCATACGCGCCTGCCTAACACGCACAAGGCCCACAGTTTGATCCCTGGTACCACAAAAAAAGAAATTTCTAATTTAAGGCACCACCATCACCAATAAGAATCCTAGTAAATAAATAATTTTTAAAAGGTACTTTTTTGTATTAGAAGAAGTCATTAAACCTTTCATTGCTGGAAAAAGTGCTTTTGCATTTGATAATCAAGAATGACAAAGCCTAGGACCGGGGCAATAGCTCAGTGGTCTATCTGTCTGTCTCTAGCTCTGTCTGTCTGTCTGTCTGTCTGTCTCTCTCTCTCTCTCTCTCAGTACGGGGGATTGAACTTGCCTAAGCACTTTCTTAGGCAAGTGCACAGGGACTGTGGTTTGAACCCCAGCACCACATGCCCTGCTACAGCCCTGACCCCAGGGTGGGCTGGGCTAGCCACAAAAGAAAGAAAGAAAGAAAGAAATAAAGAAAGAAGAAAAAGAATGACAAGGCTTGCTGGTTGTGATGGTCCATGCCTGTCATCCAGCACTCAGGAAGCTGAGACCAGAGGATCATTGTGAGTTTGAGGCCAACCTGGGCTACAAAGTGAGTTCAAGGACAACCTGAACTGCATAGCAAGACCTTGCCTAAAACAAACAAACAATAAAGAATAACAAGACCTCAGTCAGTACAATGGTAAATGCCTGTAACCTCAACTACTCAGGAGGCTGAAGCAGCCATATTACAAGTTTGAAACAACTTAGCAAGACCTTGCCTCAAAATTAAGAAGGGGAAAAGACTGAGGTGTATGCCCACTGAAAGGCCTTGGTCAATCCCCCGTACTGAGAGAGAGAGAGAGAGAGAGAGACAGACAGACAGACAGACAGACAGACACAGAGAAAGACAGACACTAGAGAGACACAAGACAGAGACAGAGACGGGCACACACAGAGACAGAGACACAGAGAGAGAGAGCCAGGGAGAGACACACACAGAGACAAACAGAGAGACAGAGACAGA